TCATCATTGATGTTTCTCTCCCTCTCCCTTCCTCTTTGATCAATAAAAACATTTTTTTAAAAAAGAAAGCATCGCAGAAGTTTAAACAGCGATCAGACGAACTGCACTGTGTGAAGAGGCGGTAGGAAGGCATGTAGCATTTACTCACCCGTTTACAACACGAAGCAAAGCACATGTTGTGGTTTTATTGGGCCACATCTGTAGCTTCTCTTTGTCCTTAAACCGGTTTAGCGATCAGAGCGTCCGACCCGGCTCAGGGGGTGGGGGAGCCGCTGTGGGCGTTCCTGCGCGTCTCCCTGGGACCCGGGTGAGCTGGCTGTGGTCGCGGGGGCGGGGGGGGGGGTGCCCGGCAGCCTGGGGGAGCCCTGCTCTTTCATCTGCCAACTTACTGACGCCCCATTTCTTTTCAAAACACACTTGCCAGCAAATGGCTCACCCGGGGTTTCCCCGAGTACAAGGCCCGCGGAGCTGAGCCGGTCCTGTCCGTGCCAGGCCGCAGCCACCCCTCCCGGGGCCGGGACGTGTTGTGGATCGTGGTGGAGAACAGGGCAGTTTTCACACCAGGCTCCACGTTTAAGGCCAAACCCAGCGAGGGGTGTTTCTGACTCAGAGACGCAGCTCCAGGACCTCTGGCTGCAGCTCGTCTCTCTCCTGCCTGTCAATCTTTCTGTGTTTATGTAATTCCTTCTGTGCGTGGAGGGTTGGCTATGTCGTGGTTAATGGAGCCTAAGGACATGCACAGGATGTGCTGTGTTTTCATTCCCTGCTCAGCTGGCTTCTCGTTGAGGATGAGATGAAATTTGGGGCAATAATGAGCACTGTCATGATTGCAGATGCAGATCTCATCTGCAAAAGCTACTTGAAAACCGCAGTCAGTGCAGTAGCCAGGACGAGAGTCACAGAGAATGTGTGTCGTTAATATTTAATGATCAGAAAGCGTTTGGGAGTCTTTCAGAATAAATCTAGCATTTGAGACCACGCCTTCTCCTCGATCCCAGCAGAACCTGTGCTTTCCTTTCGAACCGGTGAGCTGGTGCTGACAGGCCAGCGTCACCCCGCTGGGTCAGCGCTGACTGCGTGCAGGTCTCTGTCCTGGGCCCCGGGTGCTCGCCGCGGAGGATGGGCGAGGTCTCTGGGCCCCTCGGTGTCTGAAACGCTTGTGGTCTTTACTGGGACGTGGGCCGCGTGAAAGCGCCCGGGAGCTCCCAGCAGGAATCTGCCCGCTACACGGAGGGCACGACTCTGCCCGGGAATTCACTTAATGTTCTCACGAAGGACATACCCGCCCCCCCCCCCCACCTCCCCCCGCCCCACGAAAGCTGTGGGTTTCCTGTGTTAGGGCGCGGACATGGTGCAAAGCTTTGTATTTTGTGGGAGAAAAGTCAGTTATTTAGGGCAAAAGTCTGAGTCTGCAGGCTGCACATCTTAATAGCATTTAATAAACAGACGATGGGTAAAAGCGACTTTACTCAAATCAAGGTAATGTCCTAGTCCCTGATCCCAAAGTCAGTGTTTACCCTTCAAGGTCCTTTAGAGCTTGTCAGCCTCCTGCCCTCCCCTCCCCTCCCCCCTGCCCTCCCCTCCCCCTCCCCTCCCCCTTCCCTCCCCTCTCCCTTTCCTCCCCCCTGCCCTCCCCTCCCCTGCCCTCCCCCTTTCCCTCCCCTCCCCCTTTCTCCCTCCTGCCCTCCCCTCCCCTCCCCCTTTCCTCCCCCCTGCCCTCCCCTCAGCCCAGCCTGGCACCGCACCGGCCTCGCTTCAGCCCTCCATCAGGAGGAATGGTGCTCTCTAGTCACAGGCCTGGCGGATTAAGTAAAACCTTGGCAGCCCCATCTTTCGTCTCCTCGCCCTGGACCTCACGTGGTCTCGGGTGCTGTCTGCCAGGCTTGGCCGAGGCTCCTGGCTTCTCAGGTGGCCTGGTCCTCGCCCGGCCGGACTGTCCCAGAACGTCCAGTGATGAGAGCAGCAGCGATCGAAGCAGAGTGGGAAGTGGCTTGCCCTTTGGAGAGCAGGGAGCCTGAGTCACGCGGAGACCGCGCCGGGGACACGGGAAGCTGCGCGAGGCCTGGCAAGGAGAGGCTGAGCCTCAATTAAAATAGCAGCCCAGCCGCGGGGAGCGGGCACAGGTGAACCAACCAGAGACCCCGCTGTCTCCCCGATGCCTCACCTTCAGCCCACCCCTGGTCCTCACCAGAGCTCACTGTGGTTCCCTCACTTGCGAGGGGGTCCCTGAAACATGCACAAAGTTGCCCTGGCCAGTGTGGCTCAGTGGATAGAGCACCTGCCCCTGGACTGGAGGGTCCTGGGTTCAGTTCTGGTCAGGGGATAATGCTTCTTTTAAAAAACAACATGTTTTTATTGATTTCAGAGAGGAAGGGAGAGGGGGAGAGAGAGGCATCAATGATGAGCGAGAATCATGGATCAGTTGCCACCTGCTCGCCCCTCCCTGGGATCGAGCCCGCGACCCGGGCCTGTGCCCTGATGGGGAATCGAACAGAGACCCTTGGGTGGGCGGCCGACGCTTTAGCCACGGAGCCATGCCAGCCAGGGCACCTTGTGATATCTTAAATGGAAAACGTATTCTTTTGTTCACCCGGCTCCTCAGCAGCTAATTCGAACCCACGTCACTGCTGCTGATGGAAATGACTCAAAGGCGCTTAGAAACCAAGGGCCCCAGAGGGCTCCGCGAGTGAATACACCTCTCCAAGATGGCACCGGGGCTCCCAGGGGCTCCCAGGGGCTCGGTCGCGGAAGCCCCAGCGGCCGGGGCGTCTCCAGGCCTCCGGCGAGTCCCCCTGCTCTGGACGCAGCCTCCCCCTCCCTCGGTCCCTCTCAGGGCGGGAACACGGATTCAGCTTCACAGCGGCCGCTGTGCTGACCTGTGCGGGCCAGTGACAGGGTGACCGTGCAGCCGTCTAAACTCCCCCGCTTACCTCTCAAAACGTTTTCTTTTTTTAAAAAAAATAAACTCTAAAACAACAAAACAAACAAACCCAAAAGGTTTTGCGGGGCAGGTGTGGCTCAGTTGGTTGGGCCCCTGAAAAGCTTGCTGATTCCACTCCCGTCAGGACACGTGCGTGTGTGCGTGTCTGTGTGCGCGCGTGTCTGTGTGTGTCTGTATGTGTGTGTGTGTGTGTGTCTGTGTCTCTGTGTGTGTCTGTGTATGTGTCTGTATGTGGGTGCGTGTCTGTGTCTCTGTGTGTGTGTCTGTGTCTCTCTGTGTGTGTCTCTGTGTGTGTGTCTGTGTCTCTGTGTGTGTCTGTGTATGTGTCTGTATGTGGGTGCGTGTCTGTGTCTCTGTGTGTGTGTCTGTGTCTCTGTGTGTGTGTCTGTGTCTCTGTGTGTGTGTCTGTGTGTGTGTCTCTGTGTGTCTGTCTGTGTCTCTGTGTGTGTCTCTGTGTGTGTGTCTCTGTGTCTGTCTGTGTGTCTGTGTGTGTGTCTGTCTGTGTGTCTGTGTGTGTGTCTGTGTGTCTGTCTGTGTGTGTGTCTGTGTGTCTGTGTGTGTGTCTGTCTGTGTCTCTGTGTCTGTCTGTGTGTCTGTGTGTGTGTCTGTCTGTGTCTGTCTGTGTGTCTGTGTGTGTCTGTGTGTGTCTGTGTGTGTCTCTGTGTCTGTGTGTGTGTCTGTGTGTGTGTCTGTGTGTGTGTCTCTGTGTGTGTGTCTGTCTGTGTGTGTCTCTGTCTGTGTCTGTGTGTGTGTCTGTCTGTGTCTGTCTGTGTGTCTGTGTGTGTCGTGGGGGGCTCCATCCCAGGGCGGCAGGGGGCCTGCAGGAGGAGGACGGATGGCAGGCTCTCACGGAAGTTTCTCTAAAAATCAATTACAACGAAACAAACGAAAAACAAACCAAAGGTCCTGGCCGAGCAGGTGGCAGAGGGAGGCGCCAGGGCGGGTCCCTAACCTGCGTGAGGCCGAGCTGGAGGGGGGGTCGGGGCGCTCCCATCCCCACCCGAAGCGCCAGTTCGAAGCGCCGGTTCCGGGACCACCACGTCCACGTCCTTCCTGACCCCAGCCCCCGACTCGTCGCTTGGATTTCAGTCGATGATGGGAGGCCGGCGGCGGCTGCGCTCACACCCGTGATGCCCCCCAAGGCCGAGGGGTCCCCGGGCGAGGTCGGGGGGGGCTGTCCAGGGGGAGCTGCCCATGGGCCGGGCGCCGCAGGGACCCCCGGGTGCCAGCCCGAGGCCCAGCCCGCCCTCCGCGGGGACACTGGAGGGTCCGCTGCAGCCCCGGCGGCTGGGAGGGAGGACGCGGGGTCCCGTCCCCCCACGCGCAGCTCGAGTGAGCCCCACGCGGCCGCCGCCTGCACCTCCCGCTCCCGCCCCTCGCGACCGAGTTCCCTCGCGCAGGGCCCCCGCCCCACCGAGGCCGCGAGCGCGCAAGGTCCGGGCCTCCAGGGACGTCCCGCCCAGACCAGACGCGGCCTCCGGGCGCAGGAGCGGGTGGGGCGGACCTCGGGCCCGTCCCGCCCGCCACGCGGCGAAGGCGTGCGCCCCCCGGTGGTCACGGGCTGGCTGCGCGGGGCGGAAGGGGCGGGGCGGAAGGGGCGGTGGAGGGGAGGGCGGGGCCGGCGGAGGGGAAGGCGGGGCCGGCGGAGGGGAGGGCGGGGCCGGCGGAGGGGAAGGCGGGGCCGGCGGAGGGGAGGGCGGGGCCGGCGGAGGGGAAGGCGGGGCCGGCGGAGGGGAGGGCGGGGCCGGCGGAGGGGAAGGCGGGGCCGGCGGAGGGGAGGGCGGGGCCGGCGGAGGGGAGGGCGGGGCCGGCGGAGGGGAGGGAGGGGAGGGCGGGGTCGGCGGAGGGGAGGGCGGGGCCGGCGGAGGGGAGGGCGGGGCCAGCGCAGGAGGAGCTGGCGGAGGGGAAGGCGGGGCCGGCGGAGGGGAAGGCGGGGCCGGCGGAGGGGAGGGCGGGGCCAGCGCAGGAGGAGCTGGCGGAGGGGAAGGCGGGGTCGGCGGAGGGGAGGGCGGGGCCGGCGGAGGGGAGGGCGGGGCCGGCGGGGGGAGGGCGGGGCCGGCGCAGGAGGAGCTGGCGGAGGGGATGGCGGGGCCGGAGGAGGGGTTGGCGGCGCCAGCGCAAGAGGAGCTGGAGGCGCTGGCGGCGATCTTCTGCGGCCCCGGCGAGTGGGAGGTGCTCAGCCGCTCAGGTGACTGCGCGCGCGCGGAGGGGGCCCCGCCGGGGACGGGAGCCGTGGGGCAGCGGGAGCGGGGGTCACGCCGGAGCGGCCAGGGTCGCTCCCCGGCTGCGAGTGGGGAATCGGAGGCCGGGCTCGGGCGCCCCCTCCGGCGGGTCCGGCCACCTGCGTCTCACGCGCCCGCTCTGCTCCCCAAACTCGGGGAGCGCCCAGCCCCGGTGCTCGCGGGGCCGAGGGGTCCCTCCTGGAGGGCGCTCCCCGCACTTACTCCAGCTCCCGCCTTACCAAGGGGCCGACCTGAGCCCTGGTCCCGGGCTCCCAGCCTTTCACGGCCCCGCCCCGCTGAGCTTCGCAACGGCCTGCTGCCCCTCCCCCCAGACTTCTCATTCAGAAAGTGAACTGTCCACGTGGAGGAAGCCTAGAGGGCCATGAACTCGTTAAAAAAGTAATAATAGGAAGTGCTATGAAAATATAACAAAGTTTCGAAACATACCATAGAGAGCTGAAATGCATAAATGTGTCACAATATATATTTACATCCTAGAACCATCAGAAACGCAAAAAACTCGCGGTGAATAACTCATTCTCGAGTTGCCCCCTTAAACATCACATCGCCCCGCGGGGCTGGGCTGGGGGCGCGTGCCCTTGTCTGAATCGGCGCCCCCAGTCGCATTGCCCGTGCGCTCTGTATGGCGTGTGGTCGTCTCCCGGAGCTTGAGGGCAGGGACTCTGGCTTTGTAATCACCTGCACACAGTAGGTGGTCAATAAATGTTTGCTTAATTTTCTTTTTCTTTGTTAATTCTCACCCGATAATATTTTTCCCATTGATTTTCAGGGAGAGTGGAAGAGAGAGGGAAAGACCGAGAGAAACACATCGATGGGTTGCCTCCTGCATGCGCCCCGGCCAGGGCCCAGGCCGGGCAGGAGCCTGCAACTGAGGTATGAGGTACGTGCCCTTGACCGGAATCAAACCCGGAACCCTTCAGTCCGCAGGCTGACGCTCTATCCACTGAGCCACCCGGCCAGGGCTGTTTGCTTAGTTTTTGAATTCGGGCAGGGCTCGCCCTGAGCTCTCCCTGTTACGTTTCCAAGTTGATTGCTTTGTCTAGTCCCCGGAAAGGTAGGCTCCGTCGTGGGCTCCGGGGCGCGTGCCTTGTTCAGCCCACACGTGTTGGTTCCCTGGGTGCACACACCGCGTCCTCTGAGCTTACGGCCTAGAAAGTTCTGGCGGCCGGTGTGGTGGCAGCGAGACTTCCTCGGTCCCGCCCGCGGCCTCTGCGGCAGGAAAGGGTGCGGAAAGGGAGCAGGCTGCAGGAACGCCGGTTCTCGCTGCACTGGCAGACGCATCGCGGACGTTTTCCGTGGATTCGACCTGCTTTTCTGTGGCAGCTCCTAGGCCAGTTGGCTTCCCGGCCGCACACGGCTGACCCCAAGGCCATGCAGGATGTGCCGGGTGGTGAGGAGCCGCCGCTTCCCGCCTCCACGGGGCCTGTGCTTGGCTCCTCTCACGGTTCCTTTGTCCCCCACCACTCGGGCTCACCGGCACCCGTGTCCCAGGCACGGGGACCCGTCGGTGTCACAGACCTGCTTCTCTGCAGAGCGAGCCTGCCTGCATCTTCCACACACAGTCGTTTACAGTCCATACGCAAGGCTTGGTCCCTCCCGTGTGTCCTGGTCACCCCTGTTCTGATGGGCGGCACCCCCAGTTCATCCTCACTCCCTGTCTCCATGGCAGTCACTTACCGGAGGCAGCCTATCAGCATTTCTTTTTTTTAAATATGTTTTTATTGGTCTTAAGAGCGAGAGGAAGGGAGAGGGAGAGAGAGATGGAAACATCAATGAGAGAGAAACATCATGGATCGGCTGCCTCCTGCACACCCCCCACTGGGGATTGAGCCTGCGCCCAGGTACGTGCCCTGACCTGGACTCGAACCCACCCCCTTAGTTCCTGGGTCGGATGCTCAACCGCTGCGCACGCCAGCCGGGCTCAGAGACCATTGGATTTCCCCGGGTCCTGCCTTCTGGCCGGCAGGGATCCTCTGGCTCAGTTGGGAATATGACGGAAAAGGGAACCCGTGATTTCAACCACCCCTGAAACAGGCCCAGGGGCAGCGCTGGTTGTGACTGCCTGGCTGAGCCAAAGCCTCGGCCGAGGGGTCCGAGAAAACCCGAGAAAGTAAGTGTAGAAGGAGACGCCGCTTCTTGACTTCCGGAACACCGTGGCCCTCTGTCTGCTGTTTAATTAAGCGTGACTCTGAAGCCAGGCCTCCTAATTAATTTAATTCTGTGTTCTCCCATCAGTGGGTAATTGAATTATAAAGGCATGCAGTGTAGCCGCTCAGGACATTGTGTTGCTGGGAGAAGAGAACAATCCAGGGATTGAAAGGGGCCGTGGGGTGGTCCCAGCTGGGGCGGAGGGTGAGGTGAGGACTCGTTCACTGCCGCTGGGCTGCTGGCCACCATGGGCCCGGCAGCCTGGCCAGGGGCTGCTGGGACATTCTGACGCCACCGGTTCCTCCTGGCCCCTGGCTGCCCGGAGCCAGGAGGGCACCGTGACGCGGGCCCTTCGGGTAGGAGGTGGCCCAGGCTGCCACCCAAGGGTTGGCATCAGCTCAGCCGGGCTGGTTGGTGCTGGGGATGTCTGGGGGCGTCCGTGCATTTTGGCCTCTTTACAGCGGCGGCGTACGTGGTTAGTAACCATCACTCCTGGGCACAGTTACGTGAGCCGCGCGCACCGGGCGGTCTGTAGGGAGACTGAGTCTGATCTCGGCCCTCCTGTCGCCGTCCAGGCCGCCCAGGTGCCAGGTTTCAGGGGTCACCTGCTGGGTGCCCGAAACTTTAGATGCCCCTAAGCTTCGTCCTACAGAGGAGATGACGGGGGCTCAGCTGGACAGGCGGCCGCCGGCTCCGAAGCGTGTGGGCCCTGCGTTGCGCTCCCTAAGAGGCCGGGCAGGGAGAGGGGGACGGACAGAGACGGGTGTGACCCCACTTCCATGTGTCTCCTCCGAACAGAACCCAGTTTTCACCTGAAAAGCACCGACACGGGAAACAGGTGCTCCCCGGCCGGTGTTGCGTTGCGATGGGTGCCGTGCGGCTAACGGGTGTCTTCGGTGCCTTCCAGGGACCCAGGGCGCCATGTGCAGAGTCCTCACCAAAGCCGAAGGCCCGTCGGGGGCGGACACCCCCCTGGAGCTGGTGTTCCACTTACCGGCCGGCTACCCCGCGTGCCTGCCGGGCGTCTCCGTCAGCTCCGAGCGCCTGACCAGGGCCCAGTGCGCGGCCGTGAGGGACAAGCTGCTGGAGCAGGCACAGGGCTTCCTGCCGGAACCGATGGTCCACCAGCTGGTCGTCTGGGTCCAGCAGAACCTCCGGCACCTCCTCGCCGCGCCGGGGTCGGGAGCTGGCCCTGGCACGTGCCCTGCGGCGAGCGCCACGGAGGCCGAGGGGCCGTGGATGACCCTCCTGCACTTGGACCACATGAGAGCGAAGACCAGATACGTGCGGACGGTGCGGCAGTGGGCCTCCGCCCTCGGGCTGACGGGGAGGCTCATGTTCATGGGCAGAGTCATCCTGCTCCTTCTGCAAGGGCACAGGGACCGCGTCAAGGTGCCACCAGTGGTTTTTTTAAAAAAATATATATTTATAGTTTTAATGATTTCAGAGAGGAAGGGAGACAGAAACATCCATGATGAGAGAGCATCATGGACCGGCTGCCTCCTGCACGCCCCCCACTGGGGATGGAGCCCACAACCCGGGCCTGTGCCCTGACCGGGAATCCAACCGGGACCTCCTGGCTCATAGGTGGACGCTCAACCACCGAGCCACGCGGGCCGGGCCAGCTCACACTTTGGTTTGCTCCCGTAGCACCTGGAAGGAGGAGCCCGACCTCCCAACCTCGAGGTCCTGTGAGTAGGGGGAGCCTTAGGCTGTCAGCTTCCCGCCTTCCGAGTTTTCAGGTTCTCTTTCCTGGACTCGTCTGATCTGTTTCCCATGGGACCCGGCGAGGGAAGTGCCTGTCACAGCTCACCTCTCCGGGGAGCCGCAGGCCACCGTTAGGCTTTGTGCGTCCAGGTGGGTTGCTCATTGCAATCGAATGAGCAGCCTGTCATCCTAAAGATCTGGGGACTGACTGCGAGCCTTTCCTACGAGGGCTCTCGCCACCAAGCTTGTCTGGCGTCTGGTTACCCAGCTCCGTGCCAGGGCGTAGCACGTAGCGACGACGAGTCATTCCAGTTTCATGCAGGCCCTGGACTGGGGTCTGACCTAGGAACACGCCGTGAAGGCGGTTTATGGAGAATGCCGAGCCTTCCGGGCAGACCCGGCGGCAGGAGGCACGCAGGGCACGCTCCTGGCTCGTGCTTCCCCAGAGGTTCCGGCTTCGGAAGGCGCCGCGGCGCCCGGGGAGGCGGCTGCTTTTCGGATGTGAGACGGGACCATCAGTTCATTAACAAGTGTTTATTCATGTGGCTGGAGCTTGGCTGCTGCAGATAAATTGCACTTTTAAAGGAGTTCCTTTTTTTAAAATCCTCACCCGAGGGTATTTTTCCCATTGACTTTGAGAGCGAGCAAGATAGAGAGAAAGAGAGAGAGAGAGAGAGAGAGAGAGAGAGAGAGAGAGAGGCCAGTGTGAGAGAGGCACATGGATTGGTTGTCTCCTGCACCTGCCCCGAACGGCCAGGGATGAACCTGCAACCGAGGGACATGCCCTTGACCTGAGCCACACCGGCCGGGGCAGGAGTTCTTCCTTGTTTACCACCTGTCCCTGAAATGCCGTCCAATGTCAACATGCCTGCTGGGTCGTCACAGGTCGCAGGTGAGGACTGAGCGTCGCAGGTGCTGGTCACCCAGCTCGGAGCGGGTGCAGCTCATCACAGACGCCGCCCGCGTGCAGAGGTGGGCGCTGTGCACGGGGACGCCACGCAGACGCTGGAGCAGCAGCAGCAGCAGCGCCCGTGGCTCCTGCCGTCAGCGCGTGGCCTGTGCGGACTCACTGAGCCCGGAGATCACCCCGTACAGCAGGGGCTGCTCCTGAGGCCCAGAGGGCGTGGGGAACCAGCCCAGGGCCCCGCAGGCCGGCTGCCCAGGCCAGGATGAAGCCCAAGATGGCCTCCCTCTGACCTTCTGGTCCCCGGCCGGCCCGTCACACCACCCAGCGAGCAAAAACGCGCACTCTCCCACCGCCCGACTCCCACGGAGACAGGCAGGAAGCTGAGCCTGCAGGTGCCTGGCTACTTGCGGACGTGAGCCCGGTGCCCGGCCGGCGGGGCTCAGGGGTTGAGCGTTGATCTATGAACCAGGAGGTCACGGTTCGGTTCCCAGTCAGGGCACAGGCCCGGGTGGCGGGCTTGATCCCCAGTGGGGGGCGTGCAGGAGGCAGCCGATCCATGGTTCTCTCCGATCACTGATGCTTCTATCTCTCTCTCTTCCTCTATATTTTTTAAACAAAAAAGAAAATTTGGGACCCAGAGCGCAGGACGCCTGCGGATAACTTCCTGCTTGCCCCTCAGGAGTACCTGGTGCTTCAGAAAACCTCCAAGGTCGACGTGGACTCGAGTGGGAAGAAGTGCCGAGAGAGGATGGCCAGCGTGCTGTGGGAGGCCAGGGCGCCGCCGGGACACGCCAGGTATGGCAGCGCCATCGCGGCGCCCGCGCCACCGGCCGGGGCTTCCCTCCGGCGTCCGGCTTACCCCGGTTTCTCCCGTGCCACGCAGGTTCCTGGCATTTGAAGTCAAAGAGCTTTCATCGCTGGACGAGCTGCGGAAGGAGTTTGAAACCGCGGGACTGGAGGCGCTGTTCCCCGAGTGCGTCCTCGGGCTGGTGAAGTGAAACGGGAGACGGGTTTTTTTTGTTGTTAAACAGCTGCGTTTGTTCATTTCTGTTGTTGGATTTGCATTGGATTTTGGGGGTGGACAACTGGAAGAACTCATAAAGGAATGGTTTTAAAGTGTCTGTGAGGCAAAATGGGAGGTACCATCCTGTCTTCAGGAACAAAAGCCGATTCTGTTCGTGGAATATTACACAGTAAACACACCCATGCTGCTGGGTTTTTTTTGTTTTTTTTTTTGTAATAATGTTTTCATTGGTTTCAGAGAGGGAGAGAGAGAGAGAAAAAAACATCCACAATGAAAGAGAATCATCGATCGGCTGCCTCCTGCACGCCCCTCACTGGGGATCAAGCCCGCAAACCCGGCCTGTGCCCTGCCCGGGAACCGAACCCTGACCTCCTGGTTCACCGGTCGACACTCAACCACTGAGCCCCGCCGGCCGGGCTGTGCGCGCTAATTTGTGACAGTAAAGGCTGGGTTTCGGGGATGGGACCTTCTTTGCCAGACGGCGATGAGCAGACGATGTAAACGAGCCCTGAGCTCACAGGGAGGGTGTGTTTGCCGCCGGCAATGTTCCTGTGATGAAACGATGTTTGAAAATAAGTGTGTTTCGTCGCTTCCTTCTCGAACGTTCACATTGTCAGCATTTGCTCATGGTTTCCCCCGTTTACCTCGTTCCGTCTGATGCTCCCAGGTGCACGGTGAGGACACATCACATGGACTCCTTTGCTGCGTTGCCTCCGTCGTGAGGTTAAACACCAACCAGAGCGCGTGGGATTGAGTTACGGTGGCTTCTGTGGGGCCCAGACCGTCGCGGCACTTGCTAGCCAACCTAGGGCTAGACCAGTGCTGGCGAACCTTCTGAGCTCGGCGTGTCAGCATTTTGAAAAACCCTAACTTAACTCTGGTGCCGTGTCACATATAGAATTTTTTTTGATATTTGCAACCATAGTAAAACAAAGACATATTTTTGATATTTATTTTATATATTTAAATGCCATTTAACAAAGAGAAATCAACCAAAAAAATGAGTTCGCGTGTCTCCTCTGACACGCGTGTCATAGGTTCACCATCACTGGACTAGATAGTCCTTTGAGATAAAAAGTGTTTTGCCCTTTGCTTTTTCCCCAACAATCAGGATCGTAGGTCTCAGCTCCTTAGGTCACTGAAGGGGTGTAGCTTTACTCCTCCCCCCTCTGGTGCAGCCTAGGTTTCCCAGAGAAGCAGCCGACAGGATGTGCATTTATTCCCGCTAAGGAACTGGCGTTAGTGGTGATGGAGGCCGGCACATCCCAGACTTCAGAGTGGGCAGGAGGCTGGAGACGGAGACGGGGACGGGGACGGGGCTGCCCGGGAGGCCGGAGGGCTCTGCGCTGGCAGAATGCTCTCGTTTGCAGGAGATGGGCCTCTGGTTCTGGTCACGCCTGATTGGACGAGGCCCACCCCACGGGGAGGGCAATTTGCTTTCCTCCAAGTCCACTGGCTGACACGTGCGTCTCACCCCCGCGCGCCCTCCGGGAGCATCCGGAAGGACGGGAGACCACGTGTGGCCCGATGGAGTGGACAAAGGTTGCCGTCGTCTCTCAGGACACGTCCCGCCTGCAGGGTCACCGTTAGGGATGAGGCGTGTGCCTGGCAGGTCGCAGCTGCTGCAGCCCCGGGCCCGTCCTCCCAGGCTCCGCCCGCAGAACAGCAAACGCCACGGGAACGGAAGAAAGCACCGCTTCCGAACACTCAGCAGCTTGACAAGTGGCGGTTCGCTGGCCCGCGCGGCTTCTCTCGAGTCGGACGGGCCGCAGCGATAGGTCGTGCTAGAAGGTTACGTTCCGCTGGCGCAGGAGGGTAAACATGGCCCGAGGACATATATTGATTTTTTACTTTTTTTAAAGTGAACTCCCTTGCTTTGGGGCATCTTTCCAGAGCCCTAAGCTGGCGTTTTCTCAGCTCAGTGTTGGCAAGTGACACCCCGAAGTGAGGCCAGGAGGGGGTTCTGGAATGGGGCTCCCTCCGAGGTGAACCCCAGCTGTGCTTTTGGAGGTGTCAGCCCACCCGCTGGCCTCAGCGCTGGACCGTCGGTGCTGCAAAGAGCTGCTGCTTCCCCGCCGCCATCCCCGCCCCCAGCCCCACCGCCATCCCCGCCGCGGATCTGCCTGTCACTGGGCCTCGCCTTACGGCTCCGGTCCTGGCCGGTCCCAACTCAACCTGTTCTCATGCTCCACCCGAGGCCACGCCCAGGGGTTCCGCCAGCCCCCGTGGCCAGTGCCGTGGAGCAGACTCCATCACCACTAAGCAGACACCGCCCTTTCCCATCCATCCCAGTTCCGCTGTCGCGCTGTCACCAGAACCATCCCCGTGCTCCCAGGCTCACCGTGGACCTTCCTCCGCCCCCCCCCCCCCCCCTCCTGCCTCTGGGGAGCTGCCACGTCTAATTCCCGGCGATTCTTCCACTCATTTCCCCGCCGTCAGTGTGGCCGCTGTTCCTCGAGTCCTCATTCTTTCCGGCCAGGACTCCTGGGAGGCCCCGGAGGGTCTCTCGCCTCTGTTCCCCGCCGCGCCCTACACTTGGCTGCGGGTCACACTCTCTCATTTAAAACTCCGGGGCCCAGAGGTGTCCTAGAGGGTTTCTCTTTGAGTTCTTAGAGTTTCAGAAAGGTAATAAAGAGAAAACACTGTGATACTACAGTTCCCCCCACCCCCATGGGGGGCAGCATCCTGTAATCAAACATCATTATTTTGCTGTGAAATGGATGAATATTCACATTAAGATAAAGAGTATAAATGGTCTCTCATTTTTCACATTAAACTTTAATGCCAGATGAGTTCAGATCAGATTGCCTTTGTCTCCAAGTAAGTGATTAAAAAAAAACCCCGAAAACCGCCACCCATATTTTGGTTTTGAGAATGTTCGGATTTTAGAATTATGGAAAGGGTTGGTGGACCTGCACTAGATACATCTTTCTCAAAAATACATTTGTATTGATGTCAGAGAGGAAGGGAGAGGCAGAGAGAGGTAGAAACATCAACGATGAGAGGGAATCACTGATCAGCTGCCTTCTGCACGCCCCCTACTGGGATCGAGCCCACAACCCAGGCCCTTGACTGGGAATCGAACCGTGACCTCCTGGTTCATAGGTCTGAGACACGGCTGGGTAGGAGCCTGCTTTTAAAATTAAGTTTGGAGGCATACAGCTTAAATTTATACGACCAGGTCCAGCGTTTCTCTTCCTGTTGGATTTTCTTTCCTTTTAATAGTTAAAAAAATGATTATACAAGTAGGTAAACCTTTCTAGAGAAGGACTGTGCGTGCTTTCTCTTTACATTTTGTAAACTTAACCTCCCTAAGCTAGGTGTTGTTTGGCTAAACATACAGCTCGTAGCTGTACACAGCCTGAAGAAACAGACACATTCTCACAGTGCCTACTCATTATTGTTTTGGGCTATGTGGACGTGTTGGCTTTTACATCAATACTAGAGGCCTGGTGCACGAAATTCATGCACGGGGGTGGGGTGGGGGAGTCCCTCTCACCCTTTGGGGGATGTCCGACTGCCAGTTTAGGGGATTGGGCCTAAACTGGCAGTCAGAAATCCCTCTCGCAATGCAGGACCGCTGGCTCCTAACCGCTTGCTTGTGTGCCTGATCACCCCTAACCATTCTGCCTGCCTGTCTGATCGCCCCTAAATTCTTGCCTGCCTGCCTGATCACCCCAACCACCTCTGCCTCGGCCTCCGCCACCACGGCTTCGTCTTTAAGGACAGCCGGCTGTCCGGTCTAATAAGCATATTCATATTACCCTTTTATTATTATAGATGAGTTCATGTTTCTAAACCTCATAGCACTTTCTTGCAGCAAAGAACTGTCTCTTTCTGAGAAGAAAAAACCCCAACACACTTGCTTGTAAAATGAGGCCGTTTTGCATATTAATTAGGAGGTCTTTGAACTCTAAGGATAAAATCCGTTCATGCTTTGGGTATGGAACGTTATGCATTCAAGGAGTTTAATTTTATGCTAATAATGCAACAAGCTTTACATTTTCCTTTTATTGTTTGTTTTCCTGAAGATAATTTCATGCAGATAATCCGCCCCAGCACGGGCAGAGCCTGGCGGACGGCTTCCCGATCGATAGTCAGGCCCGTGGGCACTGCCTTGTACACCTCTCTTCCCACGGCTGGTGAGTGAATGGAGACACCCGCTCAGGCAGGGACTCACACTCAGGGTTCTAGGCTACCGGCCGCCTTTCTCTTAAGAATCGCTTCCTCTCTCAATGCCACCGTTCATGGAAAGGCAGGAGGGCTGATCCCGGAGCTGATTCTGAACAGAAAACAACTCAGCAGGAGGAGTCGCTGGCCTACTGTGCGCCTTACGACGACATTTACCCCAGCGAGAAGCATGGCGCCATGTGCTTCCTTGCCTCTGCTGGTGTCACCGGACGGGGCCTGGCCTGGCGGGTCTGCCTGGGGCCGGCAGGGCGTGTGCGGGTTCTTGACTTCGTGCGGAAAGATTTCACAACACGAGTCCAGGTGACCATGGGGAGCGTTTATTAAAGCTGAGACGTAAAACGAGAAAGGTCCTCGCATAGAAGAAGCAACAGGAGAGCCGGGCTGGGCCGCCCTCGCTCTCTGGGAGTCAGAGAAGAGGGGTCTTGGGGTCAGGTTCAGGGGTGAGCCTGCGATGAGCTGCTGCCACCCATTGCTCCCCAGGTTGCCAGTCTCGTGGGGTCCCTTAGAGGTTAGGAGCTGCATGGCTGTGGGGGGAAGGGAATGGCGGGGCCGCTCCCCAGAGGTCCGTTGTCTTGAGGCTTTTGTTTCCCTCTTGCAGGCGGGAATCTTGGGGGTTCCTCGGGGGAGGGTCCCCGCAGAATACTCATCAGTTTCCAGGTGGGCGCCTCCAGGGTCAGGTCTCCACCGACGGGTCAGTGTTGGGCAGAGGGCGGTCATCGCAGCGGCCCTGGAGCCGCCCACCTGGTTTTGCTGCTTTTCTGCGTCTGGAGCTGACATGCAGCTGAGGCCTGGGTATTCCCTCCAGGAGGGGACCTCTGCGTTGGCTGTCAATTGTTCTGCCAGTTCGTTCTGCTCTCTGCCTCAGTTTCCCTGTTCCACTCGTCCGGGCTCACTGGCCTGTCTCATGGGGAGGGCAGCGTAACAGACACGTGGCAATGTGGAAGGTTATGCTTTTTAAAAATATGTGTTTATTGATTTCAGAGAGGAAGGGAGAGGTAGAGAGAGAGAGAAACATCCATGATGAGAGAGAATCATGGATCAGCTGCCTCTTGTGCGCCCCACACTGGGGATCAAGCCCACAACCTGGGCATGTGCCCTGACCAGGAATCGAACTGTGACCTCCTGGTTCATAGGTCAAAGCTCAGCCACTGAGCCACGCCGGCCGGGCAAGGCATTACGTTTTATTTTATCTCAGTGTGCACACGTTACTCCATGTTTTTATATTTCCAGGCTCAGAAAGGGGAAACGGCCTCTTGTTTTAATTTATAGTTTTCTGTTTATTATTGAGTTTGAACATCTGTTCCTATGTTAATTGGCTATTTGCATATTTCTCTTAATTGCTTATTTGCCTACTTTTCTTTTGCACGCTTCCCCCTCTTTTTAAT